GTCTTCTGAAGACACATTTCACTGAAAGAGGGTTGAGATCTACACATGTTCAGAAAAATCACCCACTGACTGTGATTGTGGCCAATCACATACCAAAATGCACTGCTCGGTGAGTCCCCATGAATAGCAGCTAATAGTCCACTTTCGGTTATCTGTGGTAAAGGAAAAAAAAAAATCAAATCCCAAGCGGTGGTAAATCTAAGAAATTCTATTTGGGCACTGGAATGCATTTTATATGTAATTCTTTCTTGGCAGGAGACTTCCTTTTCTAATTATGTTCCCTTTAGGCTATTATTAAAATCAGTCTGCATTTCCCAAGCATATATGCCAGAGGAAGGCAGTCCACAAGCAACAGGGTAAGTCACTTAATTACTACCTGAGATTAAGTGCTGGAAAATATATTATCCATCAGTCAGAGTATATGTATGGGGCTGTGTGCTCACAAATAGGAAGCCAGTCCATAAGCAACAAGGTAAGTAACTTTGTCTACCTGAGAGTAAGTGCTTGAAATAAACTATGTGCTCTTCTAGCAACATCATACAAGAAACAAGAATTAAGGACATAAAAAGGCAAAGTTCTTGCCAAAGGCTTTTCCAGACATCTGAGTACAAGATCATGTAATTCTGCTCAAGTCACAATGTATATACCCACTTTGGAGTCATCATTATCAGCTTTTATCTGCTAGGATTGATATATGAAGACCTTACTCTTTCTATTGCTCTTGTGCATTTTTTTTTCAAATTTCTTATTAATTCTTTAAGAAAGACCCAAAATAGGGCTAGGTATGGAGTTCAGCTGCAGAACACTTTCTTAACATATGCAAAGCTCTTGACTCCCTCCCCATCACCAGAAGAAAGGAAAAGGGGGGAGGGTGGGTGAGAACCACACCAGTAATCAAGAACAGTGATATGCACCTGTGGTCTCAGCTACTTGTGAGGCTAAGGCAGGATGATCACTTGACCCCAGGAGCTGAGGGCCATCCTGAACAAAATAGCAAGATCCCATCTTAAGAAAAGAAACATAAAAATACATTACACTGTATATTTTAATTCTACACATGGATATTTGTGCTGAAAAGTAGTTTCTGAAGGTTTTACTAATAAATGCTGAACTGTTCTATAAATGTTTAATTTTACACAAAGCTGATTTTGTGTATAATAATAATTCCTTAGCCATGAATAGGTTAACTTCATGCAACATCCAGAACCCACTTACATATTTTTTTTTTTTGGTTTTTCCAGACAGGGTTTCTCTGTGTAGCTTTGGAGCCTATCCTGGCACTCACTTTGGAGCCCAGGCTGGCCTCAAACTCACAGAGATCCACCTGCCTCTGCCTCCCAAGTGCTGGGATTAAAGGTGTGCGCCACCAACGCCCGGCCACTTACATATATTCCTAATACTCTTACCCCATCCTGGGTGGTAGCTGACACTGCTGAAGGCACCAGAAGCTTGAGAAAGCATTAAGAAAGAGTACTTTATACTAAGAAATCACAAGTACATTCCAGATCAAAAAAGCTCCTTGGATTCATTACCAAGCATTTCACTAGTAGTGCTGTCCTAAGCCAGTTTTCCCAAACTTTTGGTCACTGTTGTCTCAACTGGTAATAACAAGACTGAATCTTAACACAAATGGAGTACACTTGAGTCATAGTCCCATAATCCCAGATAGCTCATCTTTCTATTCAATATTGGCTTTTTGAAAACCTACTGAGATGATTCTGGGCCATATGCATTAAAATTCAAAGTATGGCACCAGTGAGAAGTCATGTCCCTAGTGTAGGAGTCCTAAACTTAGTCACAAGTCTATTATCATTAGTGTCTTCCACTATTAATGTATTTCAGCAAACATAATTAGGAGAATAAAATGTGACATTATAATGTCCTTGTTCCCACATGTGCTCTACCGTATTCAGTTTATGGACTGCTGGAAAGGGAATCTAATGCTATCTAGCACAAGCTAGATAAGTATGCTAGCAAGTGAGATACATTCTCAGGCCCCTTCAACTAGTTTTATATCAATTCTAAAAGAGGATTTTAGAAGAATTAAGTTAAAAATATAGAAACTCAATTTGAGATTGTTGATACAACGCAGTTACATTTTTCCCCCAGTAAGTTTTGGGTCATTTTCTGAGTGCTTTTCTGTTGTTTCCACAAGGACAAGATGTATTTTTGTATTTGCCAAACAATGACATCTGTCTTTCTACCCTGTCTCACACAGCCATTCCTCTAATAGATATTGTCATTAACTTATAAACCTTTTCACTATGTAAATAAACATTCTTTCAACAGAAAATGGGAAGAATTGTGTGCAACACCATCTAAACATTTTATTATTGGTTCTATTATCACAAGTGACAATGTGTATTTCATGTAAACTTTTAGGTTTCTAAATGCCTAATTCAAGTTTAAAGGTGCAAATCAATTCTTTGCAGTTCTTTCACTTTTATCCAAATAATAGTTGCTTTGCTCTTCTATACACAATCTAAGCTATAAAACTTGTCTCTTTTGCCTTGCAATCCCCTTTCTTACAATCTCTTCCATACCGTTTTCTTAACTGAGGAGTCAGTGAAGTGTTGGAAAGAAATGACTTTATAAGTAACATGGTAAAACTGCACTCCTTTACACGCTGCTAACTTTGGAGAAGTCAGGTCTGCTCCTACGGCTTTTATTCTGCCTCATACTCCAAAAGGTTTTCAAATACTCAACTTGCCTTTATTGTCTTTTTTGGGGGGAGGGGTGGTGGTTGAGGGTAAGTCTGCCAGCTGGTGAAAAGCCAAAAGTTGTCCAGTCAGACCTGAATGGAAAAATCTATGATCTGTTTATTTCATAGTTCAAGTTCAAAAGCAAGAGACAATTTAAATAATAAAAGGGTAACAGAGGAAAAATGTAAAGAAAGAAAACAAATCAGTAAGCGTCCAGAAAAACCTTTAAGAATATTTAATTTGGAAAATGTTATTGGTTTGGAGGACTTGACTGAAAGAAAACAGCTGGGCAGAGTTCAAGGTTTTAAATTAAAAACAATCTAACAAGGTCTACAGGGATAACTCTTTGAGCCATATTTTGGAGACCAGATTCATTTCTACCAAGTAAAAGTAATAGCAGTCTAAGCTAAAAAGGAAATTCCTCACAACTGAGGTACTTACTAACTATCAGCACATTTTCCAAGTTCTCACAAGGCAGCCCAGCTACTTACATTCTATTTTTCCTTGTATATAAATGAAGCTATGTTTCCTGTGATTTGCTTTAAAAAACAAAACACTTATACACACCAGCCAGAATATGCCTATTTTATTAACATCGTGCTTTCATAAATAACTGGCTACTTCTAATAAAATTAAGCCCCTGTTTACAACAGCCCCCAATATTTCCCTTTGACCATTCTGCAGAGTTTGGTATGGGAAGTTGAATGAAATGTAGACCCTGAGCTATCAAGTAATTATGTTTCAATATAAAAATAGAGCTTCCCTCTTACAACTGAAGGTTGAACAGTAACATGAAAGAACCTGTCTTTGGGCTTCCGGTTCTGTAGAATTCTGGGGTCTTAATGACTGTTAGAGCAGGAAGAGACTTGTGTGATGGTAGGCTTTCGAAAGACTTTTGAGAACTCATTTTGAAATGATCTGCTACATTCTCCGGGTTTTCTGACTGGTCATTTGAATACAAGAAAAGGGCTTCCAAGGGGGCAAGGTGGTGGACA